TCAGGTCTCCTGAGGGCATGGTGGGCACCAGAGCACTCAGCCATCACTTGCTGCCTTAGCAGGGAGGGGAGCTGGGATTTGAACCCAGGCACTCTGACACAGGGTTCAGATACCCCACGCAGTGACCTTGGCTGGAGAAAGTGGCAACACCAGCAGACAAGGGAGGGACGGGTGAAGTGCAAGCTCACAGTCAGGCTCCAGGTGAGCCCGCCAGGTGCTTCATGCATAAAGATCTGCATGTGGTTTTTCTCGTCTTGTTAACCAAAACACCTTCAAAATGGCGATGCCTTTATTACAAGCTGAGGACACGGGGCCGGAAGGACTTTGTGTATGAGAGATCTTGGGCATGAGACGTATGTTTAAACACAAAGCCATTGTGTTTCATATACACCTTACACACACCATCCAAAGCTTATCTTACACAATCTCTTTCATCTTGTGCCTGAACCATAGCACAGTGGAATGGAATTTTTCATTTGCAGCTCAGGAAGTTCCAGATCTTGGAGCATTTGGGGTTTTCGCATTAGGGATGCTCCAAATGTGTCCCAATTATGGTTACTGAATACTACGTCCCAGAAGACGCGAGCACAGCTCCTACAAAGGATGGTAGGTTTTAGAAAATGCACAAGACAAGTCTGGAACATTCTGTCCTGATGGGGATCAAGGAATCTCTCAGCAGCCATGGGGGCAGAGGACGTGGATGCCACTTCGAAGAGGCTTCCTCTGGCAAAGGTGAAATGCTTTAAACACCGATAGGATGACAACTGGCACAGACTGAGAAACAGCAAATGTCCAAATGTTGGGTTTAAAGACTGTGCACAACTTGAAATTCCACCTGTGCCCAGGGGAGGGTGCTAGAGAATCGATCTATCTTGAAAACTTCCAAATTTCAACACCAACAACGAGGTTACAATGTACCAAGTGTTGTTCCTTACAGAGGCAGCCACAGAGGATGAATATACAAGGCCCAGCAGAATGAAGCCTCACCATTTGCCACCCTCAGTGAATGGTGGCGCTGGGCCCTGATCCTGCCAGTGGCTATGTACAAGAGCAGAAGGCAGGATGGCCTGGCCTCGTCCTGGAACAGCAGCATTCTCTGGAACTGCAACCTGGCTGGCAGCGAGCCTCTGCCCCTCACCACCAACACCCAACAGGCAGGATGGCAGAGCAACACTCCAAGGGCAGAGCCATCGAAAAACCCAATCCCTGGGGAACTACAGGTCAGCCACAAGGCTGCTTCCAGAAGCTGCAAGGAAGCTAAGGGTTGGGGGGAGGAGGGAGGCAACGATATGTTCAAGACACGGAGAACCGCAGCCACCAACTTGACCCACACACCAGCTTCACTTGGATCCCGATCCACACACACCAGCTGGCATCAAACACGTGGAAGTCAAGCGGACGGGTGAGGTGACTGCACACCGGGTGGTACTAACGCGTTATTGCTAACTACATGGCTGTGATCATGGTATTACCTGTTTTTACAAAACAATCTGTCATTCACAAAACGACGTGACTTCTAGGTGCTGAATGGCTGGGGTGCAAGTTAAACAAGCGGTTACTAAACTTGAAGGAAATTTCAAGAGCCAGATATACAACAAAACAAGAGGAGCTGGTTTGTAACTCATGGCCAAAATGCACATCCTTGAGTTCGTGTCAGGACAAACGAACGGGCAAGTAAGAGAACGGGAAAGCACCTCCTTCCCAGCGACAGGAGCGCTGGAAACAAAATCACCACTTGGCCAACATCTTGGCAAAGTAAGAATCATCCAGGACACTAAAATCGGCCAAGGACAGGAAACTCAGAAAGCAGAGTTTACAAAGTGCTCTCAGAATGCTGAACAGCACCCGTGAACCAGAGACAGCCCCGCAGACAGAGCCCCCCGGGCAGCGGGCAGAGCGACCCACATGCCCCATGCTCTACCGAGCTGGGCAGCAGCGTGGCCTCGATGAGAGCCTGAGCCAGCAGGGAAGGAGGGAGCTCTGCCACCTGACTGTGCAGGGCCCCCCAAGACTGTCAGTCGTCACAGACCAGAAGGGATGAGAGGGGCTGTGCGCGCGAATGTGTCCCCAAAAGCTATCAGCAGGCCAACGGACGCCGGCCAAGTCAAGTCCACGGATCAGCCAGCAGCCTTAGCCTACAGAGCTCCTGGTTCCACCCTAGTCCGACGATCACATGAGTACCCACGCTGGCCAGGGGAGGGCACAGGGAACCCACTGCCCTGTGGAGCCACTTCAGAAAGGCACATTAAGAACCAGCCCAGAAGCCATTCTGAGGGTTCCCCATGCTCTGCTCAGTGTTGGTGCAGTCACAGGAAGTACTCCCAGCCCAACGTAAGAGGCTAGGAAACACCTGCTCCCCAAGCCAGCAGCGCCCTTCCTGGACTGAACCCCAATCAATCAGCACCCCCAAGAGGCACTGTGGAGCCAGCCTGAAGGCCTACACTGGAACTAGCAATACACATGAAGAAATCAAATATGTCTATTTGAAAAGCAGAGCTACATAGAGGGAGAGACAGATTCTCCGTCCGTTGCTTCACTTCCCAAAGGGCCATAACTGCTGGGGCTGGCCTGGGGCTGGCCCGGGTCTCCCTCCCGTCTCCCACGGGTGGCAGGAGCCCAGCATTTGGGTCATCTTCTGCTGTTCTCCCAGGTACAATAGCATGGAGCTGGATCAGAAGTGAAATAGCTGGGACTAGAATCTGCAGGCAGTGGCTTAACATACACCTGCCATGATGTTGGCAACCATAACCATTCCAGAGTGTTCCACGAAGGACACTCAACAGAGCCATAAGACGTTCTCTGCTCTCCAACCATCTCATTACCCCAAAGGTCACGCCAATGCCACAAAGCAGCACCCAGCATGGCCGCTGTGTCCCTGGTGCCCACAAGCTGCATCCACACACAATGCAACCTTCTGTGCCTGCCTTCCTTAGAAGTGTTCAAGGCGCATGTGTGTCAGACCTTAGGCCCGGCTCGTGGCTCGGTGACGTCCGCAGAGTGAATGCCCACTGTGTTCGCCCGTTCATCCGTGGAGGGACCAGCGTCCAAATCCCTTTCACTTGTCCATGACCATGAGCAAAGCTGCCCCAGCCACCTGTCATAGGTACCGGGGAAGGGGTGTGCCGGGTCACCAACAAGCTCTGGCTTTCCACGAGGCTGTACCACATGACACATCTCCACATCCTCACCAACACTAATGTTCTGTTTATGTACATGTATGTGTATCTGTGTATGTAGCATTCGAGAAGCAAAAAGGGAAAAAAATAAAATCCACATACAGTTCCCATCCACTGGCTGACTCTCCAAACACTCACAGCTGCCTAGTTGGAGCCAGGCCAAAGCCAGGAACTGGAAATCTCATTTAGTGCCCCACCAGGGTGGCAGGCCCCAGGCAGAGCCACTGCCTCCCATCCTGGAGCAGCAGCAAGAGCAGGGCTACCAGCTCCCCAAGAGCCCAGGCTGCCTGGGGCAGGAGCAGGGCTACCAGCCCCCAAGAGCCCAGGCTGCCTGGGGCAGCATCAGGAGCAGGGATACTAGCCCCCCAAGAGCCCAGGCTGCCTGGGGCAGGAGCAGGGATACCAGCCCCCCAAGAGCCCAGGCTGCCTGGGGCAGCATCAGGAGCAGGGTCACCAGCCCCCCAAGAGCCCAGGCTGCCTCCAGGCCCCTTGGCTTTGTGCATCTGTTGATCACTCTTAGGAAAGATCAGTGCATTTTAATCTAGAAATGATCTCATTTCTTGAAAAGCACATGACAGTTATGAAAAGGATACAAAGATCTGAAATTTGCTTGAAAAGATGACAGTGAAAAAAAATCAAAGTCAGTTTCTTACAGAGAAAACAGAGGAAGGAGGTGGCAGAAGCTTGGCAGAGGGCTCCCTGTGTGCCTACTCTCCTGGGCGGTGGGCCTGGCAGAGGGCTCCCCGTGTGTCTGCTCTCCTGGGCGGTGGGCCTGGCAGAGGGCTCCCCGTGTGTCTGCTCTCCTGGGCGGTGGGCCTGGCAGAGGGCTCACCGTGTGTCCGCTCTCCTGGGCAGTGGGCCTGGCAGAGGGCTCCCCGTGTGCCCACTCTCCTGGGCGGTGGGCCTGGCAGAGGGCTCTCCATGTGCCCACTCTCCTGGGCAGTGGGCCTGGCAGAGGGCTCCCTGTTTGCCCACTCTCCTGGGCGGTGGACCTGGCAGAGGGCTTCCCGTGTGCCCGCTCTCCTGGGCGGTGGGCCTGGCAGAGGGCTCCCCATGCTGCCCACTCTCCTGGGCAGTGGGCCTTGCAGAGGGCTCCCCGTGCTGCCTACTCTCCTGGGTGGTGGGCCTTGCAGAGGGCTCCCCGTGCTGCCTGCTCTGCATCTGGGAGGTGGAAGCTCCTGAGGCTTCACTCACTCAGACCCCACTTTCTTCCCTCCAGCAATGCAGAGGGACACCTGTGACCTCAGGGTACATGGCAAGGGGCAGTAAGGCAGGACCAGGGACCCAGGGGCACCAGGTTCACCACAGGACTCCTGGGGATCCCCCATTCTGCTGGCACCCCCAGATTGCCCAGGCAGGCTGCAGACCTAGGCCCACTGCTCCGTCATCAGGAAGACGCCATGGAGAGAGGGTGCCATGCTCAGAGGGGCACCACGGCTGACAGAACCACGACTCCCTGCTCTCCTTTGTGTCCCCCGCCACCCCAACAGAGGCACGAGCTGACTTCTCCCCGACGGCTGTGACCTTGCTGCCTCTCTGTCCCTCCATGGGACATCTCCAGTACAGGCACAACTGGTCAATCCCACCCTCGCAGCAGAGGGCATCGGCTGCCAGCTCTGACACCAGGCAGACCCCACCCACAGAGGCACCAGCAAACCCCACCTGTGGCCATTTCCCCCTCTCCCGGTACAGTCTGCTCTCACAGGGTCTATGTTCAGTCACCAACCCCATCTAGCCAACGCCACAGGCTGCCTGAGTCAGCTCCTGTGGAAGTGCCAGGGCCTGGGCTGCCTGTGTGCCCTGCTCCACAAGGTGCCAGCCTACCTGGTGGGCTTCCAACCCCATGGCTTGCAAGGCAGACTGGAAGAACTCAGGAGAAGGTTTCCCCACCACTTCGGCTTCGATGCCACAGGCGTACTGAGGAGAAAGAGGACACCCATGGGTTGGGAGGAAGGAACATCTGGCTGCCCAGCAAACCATCCCAGGAAGGACTGCCTGGGCCTGAGCAACATCTCAGCGTCACAGGATACCCAAGGTGCTGGCACTTGCTGCCAGGTGCCCTGCATCCAAGGCCCACTTGCAGCAGGTGTCCCAGGGGCCGCAGCTGGAGGCTCCTGAGGGCCAGCTTCAGGCCCATGGACCACCCAGCTCCCTCACCAGCCCTCCCATCCCACCCGCCAGGGGCCATGAGGGGGCTGTGCCAGCAGTGAGGACAGGCTGTGATGGGAGGCTGACCAGCACTCTGGGCAGGGACAACTGAGGGCACCTAGGACACAGCAGACTCCACATGGCTCTTCCCGGGGCCTGGACAGAGCGCCTGAGGGCTGCAGATGGCTGTGAGTCTGAGAGGTGAGGGGCAGAAAGTATGCTGGGCAGGCAGGCATGGCCACAGGGCACCTCAAAGGGCTGGGGAGTGCCAGGGAGGACAGGCCAGGGCTACATCCCAGTGGAGAGGGAGTGCGGGCTGGCAGCCCAAACAGCAGAGCCTGCCTCAAAACACGAGCAGGGAGTGGCCCATGTGCCAGGCTCTGCTCCAGAGAGAACAGAGCACGGCAGGCAGCCAGAGATCAGGAGCGGGCTGTGGAGGGACCAGACAGGCACCTCAAGGGCCTTCATGTAGGCACCGACGTCCAACATCAGGCCGGAGGTCTCCTTGTAGTAACGCCTGGAAGAGAGCAAAAGTGACCAGGTGAGCAGAGCTGGGGCCTGGCTCAAGAGGTGCAGCCATGGTGAAGGTCAGTGAGTCCATCAAGGCGGTCACAGACCCTTCACACAGAACAGCAGCTGTGAGCCTCAGGGGCAGAAGGACCCACAAGGACCTGTGCATTGAGGAGGGCCAGCAGGTTCCCAGCACAAGCCAAACCCCTGAGTGCTGTTAGCAGCAGCAGCGAGGTGCCAGATGTCCTCAGGAGAAGACGGCCGTTTCGGCTCTCAGAGGCCAGATGGGCTCAGCTTGCAGGAGCATCCCTTCCCCGAAGACGGTCTCAGCGTCTGGGCCTGCCACAGCCGGGGTAGCCCCAAGCCTCCAGGCACCTGTGGACAAAGCCCAGGTCTCCCTGAGCAAAGCTGTCGGTGACAGAGGGAAGAGAGGGGTTAAGCCACACTGCTCTGGTCAGGACTCAGTGATCCCCAACTAGAAGGGGGCTTAGTTTTATAGAGTCATGAATGAGTTGGGAAGATCCATCACATCAACTTCCCTCCTCTCCTTCCTTCCTCCCCTGCCCTCTGAACTGGAAGCATCACAGGCTCTCTCTGAGAACAGAACAGTACGACCCAGGGTTGCATAAACCACGCGAGTCCCAGTTTCCTCATCTGTAAAATGGGCAGAACCAACAATGCACAGTACCCATCTCATGGATTACAGCACTACTTGAACAAAGTTCTTAGCAGGGTACCTGGCAGGGGGAGCTGCCCCCAACAACCTGAAGAACGCGACTGTAAACAGCTGTTCGTCGGGGCTGAGGGCTAGCAAGACCGGACCCCTGGGGGAGCTGGGGGAGCAAGAGCAGGGCCTGCCAGGTGTGAGGTTGGGGCCCACCCTAACATCAGAATGGCATTCCCTGGGGCCGAGCTGCTGCCCCAGGCCTGCCGGTTCCTTTCTGAGCTGCCCAATGCCTTGCAGCTGCAGGAACCTATGCTACCCAGTGACATCCATTGCCGCCATGTGGCCCTTTGCCACTCGCTCGGGGCTTTGGGCCTGCATTGCTGCTGGGCCGCTGCAGCCTATGCTTTGGTCTTGCCCAGGGCCAGCCATGCCCACCCAACTCCTGCCCACCAACAGGTGGCGTTTGCAGAGGGCACAGTGTTTCCTGTCACCACAGGACCCAACCTACCAGGCAAACCTCAGCCTCTCCACCCCCACCCAGGCTGTGCACCCTGAGCCTGCACCTGGGAAAATGGGCTCCTTCGATACGAGGACTGTGCCAGACCCATGTGGCAGACACAGTAGGGACCTGCAATTCTCCCCCTCTTAGAATGGCCCCTAATTTCATGTCCTAAATCCAAATTTCAGACAGATTTTGCCTTTATATAGAATTCCAGCAGTGCTTCCTGGGCTAGCACTGTGGCTAGCAAGGTAAGCCTCTGCCTGCAGTGCCAATATCCCACACGAGTGCCAGTTCAAGTCCCAGCTGCTCCACTTCCCATCCAGCTCCCTGCTAATGCAGCTGGGAAAGCAGCAGAGGACAGCCCAAGTCCTTGGGCCTCTGCACCTAAGTGGAAGACCCAGAAGAAGCTCCTGGCTTCAGATTGGTCCAGTTCCGGCTGCTATGGCCATCTGGTGGGTGAACTAGTGGTTATAAATGAAGAGAGGAGGCCAGCAGATGGGAGCAGGCCTCTGTCGTCTGGAAAGCCTTCCAGGTGACCCTCGGGCTGCGACTGCTGCTGGCTTCAGACATGCAACTCGGACAATCAGAAGCTGTCTGTGTGCTGCTAAGCTTCACGATGCATAGAGAGCATTCTCCAGACTCCAAACCTGGAAACCAGTATTTCCCATTTTACCAGAACCTGTGCCTGCTTTTACAGGGCCTTAGGCCTTATTTCTGATCTATTCAGGAAAAGGAAAGGCCACGGAGGTCAGCTGTCAGCCAGCCATTTTCTAGGGAGGCAGTCAACCTAAGCCATTGGATTTCTTTTAACCTGCACAGGCCCCAGGGGTCTCCACACGGGGTCTCATGGGCTGCTCCCTGCCACCCTGACACAGCATGACCACAGCAGCCCGGGATGGGAGTGTGAGGTGGGGGGGGAGGCACAGGCAGCATGGAGCACACCAGCAGGTTGGAACCCACGGCTCCTGCTCCTGCAATTTCCGCCGGCTCAGCTCAAGTCTGCCTTCCAAATGACCACTTGACCTCTCCCTGAAGAGCCATTAACCTTCCCTCGTCTGGTGCGTAAACAGCTTAATTTTCTGAGGGCAGCGTGACGGAAGAAATTACAAAGCCAATTCCCATCCTCAGCGCAGACAGATGCCCAATACAAATCACAGCATTTCCAGGGGCAGGACGCAGCTCCCTGCTCCCTCCCCACCACACCCCTGCCTCTCCTCCGGCAGAGACCCCAGCTGCTGACAGCAGTGTGACCACACCCAGCAGCTGTCCCCGGGCCCAGGAGCTGCTGGGTCCTTGCTCAGATTGTTAAAACCCAAACCTGTAGTCAAAATCAGACCTACAGCAGCTGGGGACACATTAACAACTTACTAAATTTATGACAAGGCTGAGAATAACTGTCTTGTTTTGTTTTGTTTTTGCCAAACATAACCTATTTTAATTACCCTAATGTGGGATAATAACTTTTAATAATTAAGTCAATTATTGGAGGAATGTTCTACAACACACAGAATAACTGGGGTTGGCCACAATCCACTCAATGTTTCAAATTCCCTGGTATAAAGGATTGCCAACACAGAGAAATGACAAGTGTCTGAGGTGATGGCTATGCCTAATGCCCAGCTCCTATTACTACACACTGCACACCTACTGCAGGCCACACAGCACCCACACACATGCACACCCACTGACCACTGCACACCTACTGCAGGTCGCACAGCACCCACACACACGCACACCCACTGACCACTGCACACCTACTGCAGGTCGCACAGCACCCACACACATGCACACCCACTGACCACTGCACACCTACTGCAGGTCGCACAGCACCCACACACATGCACACCCACTGCTCATTGCACACCTACTGCAGGTCACACAGCACCCACACACATGCACACCCACTGACCACTGCACACCTACTGCAGGTCACACAGCATCCACACACACGCACACCCACTGACCACTGCACACCTACTGCAGGTCGCACAGCACCCACACACATGCACACCCACTGACCACTGCACACCTACTGCAGGTCACACAGCACCCACACACATGCACACCCACTGACCACTGCACACCTACTGCAGGTCACACAGCACCCACACACATGCACAGCCACTGCTCATTGCACACACCTACTGCAGGTCACACAATACCCACACACATGCACACCCACTGACCACTGCACACACCTACTGCAGGTCACACAGCACCCACACACATGCACACCCACTGACCATATAATGAAATATGACACACACACCCCTACTCATGTAGAGTTACCATGTCAATTACAAATGCATCTTAAAAAGCCACTGTTGGGCCCCGCAGCGTGGCCTAGTGGCTAAAGTCCTCGCCCTGAACGCGCCAGGATCCCATATGGGTGCCGGTTTTAATCCCGGCAGCTCCATTTTCCATCCAGCTCCCTGCTTGTGGCCTGAGAAAGCAGTCGAGGATGGCCCAATGCTTTGGGATCCTGCACCTGTGTGGGAGACCTAAAGGAAGTTCCTGGCTCCTGGCTGCTGGCTCCTGGCTCCAGATCGGTGCAGCAATGGCTGTTGCAGTTACTTGGGGAGTGAATTATTGGACAGAAGATCTTCCTCTCTATCTCTCCTGCTCTGTATATCTGACTTTGTAATAAAAATAAATAAATCTTTTTAAAAAGCCAATTTCTTCAGAAAACAATTGCAAGAAAACTTCCACAGAAAACATTTGAACATAAACGAGCTGTAACAGAACTCTTCAATTACGCTTGTTCTCTGGTGAGCAGCTGGTCACTGCTGCTGAAAAGGCCACACCTGGTAAAGTATGCCGCACACAATGGTGACACGGCAGTGACAACCTGCAGGTGTTCACGTTCACAAAGCCATGGTGGGTTGAGTTTATGTGTCAGGTTCACTGGGCCAGAATGCTCATGTAATAAGATCAGACATGTTTCTGTGAAGGTGTTTCAACAGACGAGATAAACTTTTTTTCTTCTTAAGATTTATTTACCCGAAAAGTTTTATAATGAGAAAGAGATCTTCCATTCACTATTGACTCCCCAAGTGACCACAACAGCCAGGGTTGGCCGGGCCAAAGCAGGAGCCTGGAACTCCATCCAGGTGACCCGTCAGTGGCAGCAACTCGAGCACATCAGCCGTCATCTGCAGCTCCCCAGCCACAGTAGCTGGAAGTGGAGCAGCTGGGCTTTGAACCCGTTATGTGAGTGTGGCTTAACCAGCTGTGCCAATGCACTGCCTCCTCTAGCCCATAACATTAACAGTTCAGATGACCCCTCCCCCACACCCTCAACCCCTTAAAGACCTCACTCAATCAGCTGAAGGTATGAGTAGAACCAAGACCGACCTCCTTGGAGCAGAAGGGGCCCAGCGGGAGATGGGGCACCACTGGCCCTGCAGACCCGGCCTCCAGGATTAACCCCTGCAGACACCCTACAGGCTCAACCCTCATGCAGAACACATCATATATGACAAACACCTCAGAGATGCTTACTTCCTAAAAATGCTCAGCCCTCTCCTTCCGGGAAAACTTCCATTTGCCTGTCTGTGATAGGGACACAGCATGGAAGACAATTTCTCAGTGGAGACAAAATCTACAAAAGGCGCTTGCTGGTTTGGAGATGGGCACAGCAGGAGCTGGGGGGGTGGCCACTGGTCACTGCGCTCACAAAGGCGGCAGTCCTGGGCCACCACAGCTGCCTGGTTCCTCAACAGAATTCAGCAATCCAGACACTGTAGGTAATAGCTAAGTTTTAAAAACTTACTCAAAAATTCTGTAATTCCATATGGGCCAAACAGGCTCCAGATGCAGTGAAGCAGCAACAGGCCCAGGCTCTGAGGTCGACCAGGCCACGTGGCATTCCTGATCTTGCCAGCATGTACCCACTTGTTTCATGCTCCCAGGCCTCAGCGTGTCCACCTGCCAAGTGGTAACAACTCTGCCCACCACATGCAGGGCTCCAGGCTGAATAAACCAAACATAGCACTTGCCAAAGCCCTGCCTCAGCCTGTCAATTGCTGGCGATACCAGCAGGTGGACACGGTGGGTGCCCCAGCATCGAAAGCACCAGTTGGAAACCACTTCACTTCTCCAGAGAAGGCCCTGAACTCTGCGCTATGTACAACGCTGGGATGGGGAGTCCCAAGTGCCCAGGCAGGAGGCTCAGGAGCTCATGAGTCTATAGTTCTGGAAGCGTTTTGGTTGACAACGGAAGTCCTCACTCCAGCTCTCTGGGCAGCAACTGGGCTGCATGTGCCAGGAGCCTCCACAACACTTGCTCTGAGTAGCACCTGGCACAGCAGCTGAGTGGCAGGTGGGGAAGCCCCCATCCCATGGTGCACTCCCTGGGCTCCAGTCCTGGCTACTCAGCTCCTGGCTCATGTCCTTATGCACAAGGCAGGGGGCGGGGGGACGGGCCGCCAGCAGGGCCTGCTAAAGTGGTCGGGTCCGTATGACCCACATGGGGTTCTAGGATCAGTTCCCATGGCCAAGTTTTGGCCCTGCCCAGTCCTAGCCATCGTGAGCACATGGGGCACAGTCAGCAGTGGGAGAGCTCTATCTCTGCCTTTCAAACAAGGCAACATGCTAAGTGACATCGGAGGACCTCATCTGAAACACACAAGGCCACTCATCACAGTGTTGCACTGTTGCTATGGCAACAAGTCAGAAGCACCTAAACACTCAGCAACAGGCGTCAATGGAAGCACGGGAGCATGTGACGCACCATGGGTCCCCTGGTCCCCATGAGGAAACCGACAAAGCCCACCAAGAGCAGGAAACAGATGACAAGACGAGATTGAGTCCGACCCCCATACTGTGACTACCTGCATCCCCAAGAATCTGTTTACACTGGGAACACTGGGAGGAGTGCACACCTTAATGTTGACAGCAGTTTTTCTTGTGCAGTAGGACTAAAAATACTTGTTTTCCTATGTTCATTTGCATTTTCCATTTTTCTTCAATAAACATGTACTGTATCAGCCATCCAAAGCCACCTACACCGATTGTTCCAACAGACACTGGGAGCCGGCACTGCGGCACAGCAAATTAAGCCTCTGCCTACAGTGCTGGTCTAAGTGCCGGCTGCTCCACTTTCAATCTAGCTCTTTCACGGAGCTGGGCAAGCTGCACAAGAGGCCCAAGGGCTTGGGTCCCTGCACCCACGTGGAGATCAAGAAGCTCTTGGCCTGGCCCGTCCTCGGCCAAGGTGTCACTCCCCATCTTTTCAAATAAATAAATCTTTTTATATTTAAAAAAAAAAAAAGGCAGTGAGAGACTTGAACACCAAGGCTCACAGAAGCATGCTCAGACCGCATGCACCGTGTGGTCACTCGGTCGGACCAAAGCAGCCAGGGGCCTCCAGCCTAGCGGGTACTTGAGGGTGCCCCTGGGCCACTCAACACCACATGCCCTGCACTGATCAAATTTCAACTCAACTTGGGACAAGCCACACTTGGCCTCTGAGTCTCCCAACATTCTCCCTCTGTAAAGATGACCACCTGCTCATCACCCCCAGCCTCTCCTGACCACGGGTCCACACACCTGAACCAGCAGCTACTGAGGACAATGTATTCTAATCTCCTAAGAAACTAAGAGAGGAAAGGAAAAATGAAGAAAAACAAGAAAAAGAGAGGAAGCCCCCTGTGCTCGCTTCACACTCACTTTCTCACGCCCACCTCCATCTGACTTTTTAAGACTTATTTGAAAAGTGCAGTTACTCAGAGGGGACAGAGCGGTGGGGAGACAGAGAGAGAAGAAACATTTTCCACATACTGGTCTACTCTCCCAGTGGCTGAAGGCCAGGAGCTGAGCCAAAGCTGAGCCAGGTTGAAGCCGGGAGCCTCAAATTCTGCCCAGGTCTCTTGTGTAGGTGGCAACAGCCCAAGTACTTACTGCACCTGGGAAAGTACCTAAGGATGGCTTCACAGGGCACTGGGTCACAACTGGGGAAAGGCTAGTGTTGTTGCCATCGTCTGCAACACTGATATCCCAGATGGGCGCTGGTTCGAGTCCCAAATACTCCACCTCCCATCCAGCTCCCTGCTCATGGGGCTGGGAAAGCAGTGGAGGACGGCCCAACTGCTTGGGCCCCTGCAGCCACATGGGAGACCCAGAAGAAGCTCCTGGTGTCAGCCTGGGCCGGGCTCAGCCATTGTGGCCATTTGGGGAGTGAACCTGCAGATGGATGGAAGATCTCTCACTCATGCTACACTTTTCAAATCAATATAACCATCTTTTAAAAATTTCATTCAAGAGGCAGAGACAGTGCCCCCCAGATGCTGGTTCATTCCCCAAATGCCCATGATGGCCAGGGCTGGTTCCAGAAGCTCAATCTAGTTCTCCCACATGGGTGGCAGGGACCCATCGACTCAGTCACTGCCCACCCTGCCCCCGGGTCTGCACTGGCCGGCAGCTGGAATCAGGTTTGGTCTGGGTTCCAAACTCAGCATTCCTAGCACCTTCTGCTAAGCAAATACCCACCCATTTCCTCAGTGCCAGGCCTGAAAACCGCAAGGTCTCATCGGAAGCAGCTGGAAATGACTCTCCCTGGAGTCGACTTACCCTTTCCCCAGGGAAATGAGCACGGGCCGCTCCAGCTCCATGAGCACCCGGAAGGCTTGGTTCATGTTCTCATATGTAAAGCCATCACCGGCGTCTGCCATCACGACACAGTTTGGGTTGGATGTGTCAATCTGGTCGAATTCTGAGCGGATTTCTAGAGGGAGACAGTGTGCATGGTCAAGCCACAGGGCAGTGTGGCCAGCATCCCCACCCCTGCAACCCTGCCTGCTAGGTCTGCCCAGCCCCCTGAGACGCATTGCTTATTTCTGCGGTAGAAGATGGGGGAGGGTTATTCCATTCTAAGGACAAAGGAAGCTCAGCTCCTGGGAGACAGATGCACTCCCAGGATTCCCTTCCCAACACAGGCACCTGTTCCAGCAGCTCCTTGGGTTTTGTGCCAGGCAGCAGACCCACCCACAGCAGTGCAGCTAAGAAGGGAAGCTGCGGAAGGACAGAGTTGGAGTGTGTTGCAGGCAATCCTGGAGGGCTGCTGCTGCACACCCCAAACCCCAGGATCCGTCAGGCAAATCCCCATCGCCCCCTTTCCCTGCCGAGCAACCGTATTCCACGGTGGTAAGTCACAACCGTGTGCTACCAGTGCGTTCGGAGTCCTAGGAGCAATCAGCAAGTCACAGGCCTGGGGCTGGTCTTGAGGCCTCCAATGGATTACAGACCACACGATTCTGTTTCTGTGGAATTCTAAACCAAGTAAACACCAACAGAAGAAGAAAAAAAAGTCTCAGTGGACTAGCATCTGTCCAGGGAGGGTGTGAGGGGTCTCCAGGGTGATGGGCCCTCGCTTATGCAGCTGTCAAAACCCAGCAAAAGTGCACCTGAAGTCTGTGCGTTCCACTGTAAGTAAATCTTACAACAGGAAAATGTGCAAATACTGAATGCTGGGAGACGCTGAAGGCCCGAGGGCAGGGTGGGAAAAGTCTGGCCTGGTAGCTGACGCTGGGGAAGCACCAAGTCTGGCCCTACCAAGGCAAACCCAGGTGGGACTCCGAAGGTAATCGCTCTGGCAGGCTCGTTTTAAGCTAATTAGTTCTTATGGCCTGCAAATGTTATAAGTGGCTCTGGGCAGAGAAACGCAGGTTTCCCACCCCAGATTTAAGTGTAGCAATGCCTGCAATTCACCCTGCAATGCATTCAAAATGACAGAGAGCCGTCTGCAGGGATGGAAAAAGAGATGGACAGACACCCAGAGAAGCAAGCATGAGACAGCGACAGAATTTGGAATATGGGTATAAAAATATTCCAAAGAACATTCTTAGAGTTCCGTGGTATGTTTGGAAATTCTCCTAGGAAAATATTCAGATGAGGCAATGGGGAGGAGGGATCCAACAAAAGTAAAACTTGAAAATGAACTCAGGTGCATTTACTGCAGGGCAGGCCTGGGGCTGAGCGGGCGTCGGTCCACCTTGCCCTCTCCTTCACAAGCTCTGAGCTCCAGCGACTGCTCGTAGGGCTCCTTGCTCAGTGCCAGCTTGGAGCCAATGCAGACCCTCCCACCAGCCCCCCCATACCCAGCAGCCCCTCTTTGGGGGTGGGGGGGTGGGGGGGCGAGGCAGTGTCTCTCTAAAACCCACTTGCTTTAAGGACAGTCCTGAAACACTAGTAATGCCCAGAACTCCACAAGGGGATTCTAAGAACAGGGTTTCTAAGGATGGCGCCTGTACCCTTAAGTGGCACCTTCCGGGAGCACCCTCCACCTCTGGGGCTCCCAGTGGTTTGGAAAATGGGAAGTATGAGCCACAGGGGAAGGAAGGAAGCTTGGGCGAAGCAGAAGGGGTCCTGCATTCTGAAGCTAGTGTCCCTTCTTAAATAGGAGGTACCAGATCACACACTCACTTGCTAGATCCTAGATCCTCCCTGCTGAGTCACGAGGGCTCTCCTCCTGCATTTGGGACACAAACCTTGCTCCTGGGGCCCCTGGCAGGCTGCAGCCGAACGTGCTGCTGCTTCAAGGCCACAGGTGCCACGGGCCAGACAGCCATAGATCTCCATTCCGATTCTCTCAGCAGGAAATGGAGTTTGCCCCTAACTGTTCCCTGGTCCCTTGGCCCTCCTTATATCTAGGAAAGCCATTTGAACCTGATAGGAACCCTGTGGTGTGAGGCTGTGTGCCAACCTGCCCTCAGCAGGAAGCCCCCTGGGGTTTCTGTCCTATGGTTCTTATCCCACAGCATTACCTGTGTTCGTCTCGGTGGTTTGGGCTGGAGACGCTGCCCCCAGCCCCACCTGCAAAAGGGCACCACACCCGTGAGGGCTACCTACCATCGTGGACCAGCAGGTGTGGCCGCAGGCCTCGCTCCTTCAGGATCTGGCAGGCAGCGGGCGCCGGGGCAGTCACCTCATCCTCGGAAATATCAAATCCCAGTCGGCGCAGCACGGACACCAGCTTCCCCCGTGACTTCTGGGACTCGTTGGTGCAGAATCTCACCTTCAGCTGGGACCGCTTCAGTCTGGGGGAAGAGGCAGTGTCCCTTGGGAAACGTGGCCTCCTGAGAAGCTGCCCAGAGAAGGACCCTTCTCCAAGGACAGTTAGTCGAGTCCCAGAGCATTCAGGGTCCCTGAAACAGCCCTGGCTGACCCCTGAGTATGTTCAGACTGGGGTTCCTGAACCAGAGTGAACCCCATTTCAGGGGACTCCAGACCACGCTCCCACAGCCTCCACCTCTTCACTGGATTCAGTGCACCTGAGACCCCTTAGGTGTCTTCACCTGGGCCTCTTTACTCAGGCTTCTCTTCTCACAAAGCAGCTCTGCCCCCACCATCAGGAACAAGTACCCCTTCACCTGGCACACCCCTTCCACGTGGGCCATGCCTCTCCATGCAGAACACGCCCCTTCTATGTGGGCCATGCCTCTCCATGCAGTACACGCCCCTTCCACGTGGGCCACGCCTCTCCATGCAGAACACGCCCCTTCTATGTGGGCCATGCCTCTCCATGTAGGACACACCCCTTCACCTGGGCACGCCCCTTCCATGTGGGCCACGCCTCTCCATGCAGACAACGCCCCTTCCATGAGGGATCTGCAACCTCCAACAGGGACACGCCACCCCACGCTGCTTGGCATGGCTAGAGGTCACCTTTGAGTGCTCCCCATTGCTTCTCTATATCTTTTTGCTCACACAGCATGGCACTCTGCCTTAGAGACAGGTGCATCCAGAACTTACAACTTTGTACCTACATCTCCCAAAAAGGTGACAGGAAGAGGGACCAACTGCAGTCTGCTCTCATCACTGTCAGTGAGGAAAGGTTTACCAGTGTCATTGGGGTGACAGGCAACTCCAGGAGGGGCTTCCAGAATACCCACCCTGCACTAGCCCAGCTCTGAGCGGGATACCACTGCTGCCAATAGCATGGAGCTCCTCCAAGCTGGTATCCCTGGTGGCCTCCTGCAGGTGGGCTGTACCGCGACAAGCTCTCAGAAGGCACAGCAAGAAGCAGGTCCCTAAGGAGGCTCCCACTGACATGACTGCCATCTGCAAATTACTAAGTGCCTCACACCAGACTTGGGGTGCAGGCTGAGCCCTGTCCTCAGAACCAGGTCAGGGCTAGGGAATGGAGGCTGGGAAGAGAGCTGCAATGGAAGAGGAGGGGAGCAGGTAGAGGTGGCGACGGGGGTGGGGGCAGGAAGGCCGAAGCAGGCCTGGCTGGAGAAGCAGCTCTGGAGCTGGGCCCTCCAGGGTGAGAATGCACAGGTCCACTGGAGATGAGGGAAAGTGATTCAGCAGGGGACCTGGGGGCAGCCAAGTGCCTGCCCAGGAGGCAGAGAGCCCAGCGTGGCCCCAGCAAGGGTCAGGGAGGCATCCACGTAAGCATGAGTTGGTGGGTAGGTGGGTGGGTGGATGACGGCCAAGACCAGGCCCCCTGGCCCAGGTCACACACCTCCCTTGGACAAGCCCAGCTCTCCAGGCTGCAGCTGAACTTCAAGGATCTGAACTGAAGGATTGGGGGGACGACAGCTGGAGGCCCCAAAAGAAGACAAGAGACAGAGCTGCCATTCATAAGATTACTTCCCCATATGTCTGCAAAGGTGCCGTCAGGGGTTGGGTATGCAACGCAGGAACCCAGCTATTTGAGTCACTGCCTGATGCTTCCCAGCATGCACTCTGGCAGGAAACCAGTTAGGGGCTGGAGCCACACTGGAACACAGGTGCTCTGCTGTGGAATGTGGGGTGTGTGCTAACCACTAGGCTGAATGTCTACTCCCACCCACCCGTTCTTTCAACCTACGTGCTACATTCTAAGTGGTGTAGGGTTAAGTGCATAGTTTAGAAGCATACTTGAGTGTGTGCTCATTCTCACGGATGTGACCTCAACCAGAGGAACCCAGGCGTGACACACACCTGGGACCAGACACCCAGAATCATGGCTTGAAGTCCATCTCTACTGGAGCAGCTAAGCCCGACCCAAAACTCTACCCCCAACGCCAACCTCCATGAGACCAAGCCTTTCCCACTCTGGGGGAGGGAGGAGAGGAGACCAAGCCCCCAAAGTCTTCCTCCTGAGGTACAGACTTTGGGGCTTCCACATGGGCCTGAGCTTACAGGAGGTCAAGAGCAGGAAGGCAGAGCTTCCTGAGCTGCCCTGTCCCAGTGTGGGGCCCTAGAGAAGACCTCCCAGGACGAGGGAGGCTGTGTTTTGCAGGCTGCATTAAGAGGGGCAGGAAAAGGCAGGCATGGGGAGCGAAGAATGGCTCAGCATCACACACAGGAGCACCGGCCCCGCCCTCTCCAGCAGAAAGAGTGCCCGAGGCTTGGTGTGCATGGAAGGTGGAGCTGGCTAAGAGATCAGGGGCGGAGGACGCCTGAGAGGGCACCAGGGGAGGCTCGAGCACGACCCTCACAGGAAAAGGCGGTGGCTTCCAATCCAATGTCCCCTCCTCTGACCAACCTGTGTGGTGTCCCTCTGTCCTCTGTCTGTCACATCTGTTTTTCTTTCTTTGTAGCAGCCACATTTCCCATCAGCCAACTGAAGTGTGTCTCTGTGTGGTCCTTTTCTGACCTACATGCTCCTTGAGTTCAGGGATGGAGTTCACTGTTCGCCTCAGTATGCTGAGTGCTGCTCACAGGATGTGGAGCCCAGCAAGCCCCCAGAAGTGTTTGCTGAGATGTCAACTGCAGGCAAAGACCGAATGACCTCACTTGCTGCAGGGAAAATCTACATTCCCACTGCACTGAGTCTCCAGAGCCCCAGGCTCAGAACTGACAGGTGTGATTAGGAAGACATCTGGTCTACCTACAACAGCCTGACCATGGACCAAGGAGTTGGCAATATCTTCTACAATGGCCCAGGTGATTCATTCCTTTCTTAGTATTTGTGTTTCCTAATCAGAGGTTTATGGATTATCAATTACACTTAGTGGTTAATTGCCCTTCATAAAGACAGCTTTTTTATTTTTAAATTAGGCAGTTAATATATTGTAACTAATAGCGTCACCTTGTACATTATGGATAGATCTGCATCGACTGGTGCCTGGAACGTGCGATTCGCACCCAAGTTAATGGAGCAGTTGAGTGAAGAAGTGCAGGGGTCCTGAGGGACTAATTACAGCTAATGAATGATGATGTGACCTTCTCAGAACAGTGAGCAATCAGTGTGACAGCAAGATGACAGAGCCTCACATCTGTTATTCCAAACCCCACTTCACACGGGGATGGAAAGGGAGTAAGTCACACAAGTCGCTTTAGGATGCGGAAGCCACCAGGCCTCCTTGAAACCCAACAGAAGTCCGTCTCAAACGAACACTGCAAGAGTTAGAGTGGAGCGAGCGGGGTGAGCGGGACAGGCAGGGTAAGGGGGACAGGCAGGGTGGGCAGGGAGGGCGGGGCGAGCGGGACAGGCAGGGTAAGGGGGACAGGCAGGGTGGGCAGGGCGGGCAGGGAGGGTGGGGCGAGCGGGACAGGCAGGGTGGGTGGGGCGAGGGGGTGAGTGGGACAGGCAGGGCAGGCAGGGCAAGGGGGACAGTGGGGTCGGGTGGGGCAAAGGGGCGGGCAGGGCAAGGGGGCGAATGGAGAAGCCAGACAGGCAGGGCAGGCAGGGCAAGCAGGCGACACACTCCTGGTGCTTAAGAGGTCACCTAGGACTCCCACTGTCCGAAGGCCTGGGCTCGTGTCCTGGCTCCACCCTCACTTCCAGTGTCCTGCTAACACAAGTAGGCAGGCCCCTGTCACTCACCTGGGGGACCAAGACTGAACTTCTGGCTCCTGGCCTTGGCCTGACCCAGTCCCAGCTGCTGGAGGCACTTAAGGAGGGAACCAGCAGATGGGAAAGTTTTTTCTTTCTCTCTTACAAGCAAATAAAATGAGCTAAGGGACCATCCATCATAATACTTAATAAATAAAATCAAAGTACTAGGTATAGAAATGGAATCTGAGATCAGCACAATTGCTCAATTGGCTAATCCTCCTCCAGGTGCTGGCATCACATACGGCCGCCGGTTGGTGTCTTGGCTGCTCTACTTCCCATCTGGCTCCCTGCTTTCGGCCTGGGAAAGCAGCAGAGGACAGCCCAATGCCTTGGACCCTGCATTGGTTTGAGAAACCTGGAGGAAGCTACTGGCTTCCGGATTGAGCTCCAGCCGTTGTGGCCATTTGGGGAATAAAACAAGCAATGGAAGACCTCTATCTCTCCTCTCTGTAAATTTACCTTTCTAATAAAAAATACATCTTAAAGTTTGAAAACAGAGAAATGGGTTCTATTCCTGAGAAAATCCAGAGGGAGGGTCAGGCACTGAAGCACTGGGTTAAATAGCCACTTGGAATACCAGGCTGGCGAGTCCTGCCTCCTCTACTTCCTGTCCAGCTTCCTGCTAAGGTGCCTGGGAAGCAGCAGAGGTTGCTTCAGGTCCTTGAGGCCCTGCCACCCACTGGAAGACCAAGACAGAGTCCTCGGCTTCTGGCTTCAGCCTGGCTGTAGTGGTCAATTGTACCATGGAAGATCTCTCTCTTCTCTCTGACTTTCAAATAAACGGGCCCTGTCTGACCACCAGTGACAACTCTCTTCATTATTTTTAAGTTACTGAAAATAAAGCTGGATTCTTCTGGCCTGAGGAGGCACCGTGCTGCCGTTGTGTCCACAGTCGTGTCCCTAACCTGACCTTGTCTGCTTACCCAAGGGCAAGAAGGGGGTTTGCTGATCTCATGTGCCCAGGGCCAGGTGCCTGGCTTGCAGGTGGCTCTCTAAAAACCAGCTGTCTGAGAAACGGAGCCTGCGAGGGGAGAGCCAACATCACCCTCTTGAGGGACTGGCTCACACAACCTGCAGGCAGCTGAGCCCAAGTGGCATGGCCAGAGCTCTCCCAGCACACACACACAGGCCCTCGATGCTCCAGGGCCCCCTAAGGCCAAGGAGGAGTGTTGTGCCAGGCTACATCTGTGCACACTCGTTGGGGACCAGAAGTGTGCGATGGCACTGAGCACTAATGAGGAGACCTGCCTAGGTCCCTGCCATGGC